AATAAATATATGAAAAGATGTTCAACATCATTTGAGAGGTGCAGATGAAAAACACTGATTCCACCTCACCCCACAAAGAATGGCTGCTATCAAGAAATCAACCAATAACAAATGCTGGCGGGGTTGTGGGGAGAAAGGAACCCTTCTCCATTGTTGGTGGGAGTGCAGACTGGTGCAAACACCATGGAAATCAATATGGAGATACCTCAAAGAGCTGGGACTAGAGGTTCCATTTGACCCAGCTATCCCTTTGCTGGGTATCTTTCCAAAAGAATTTTTAAAATCATACCACAGCGACCTATGTACATCCAGGTTTATAGCAGCACAGTTTGTAACAGCTAAAACTTGGAAAAAACCCAAATGCCCATCAAATGGAGACTGGATAAAGAAGATGTGTTGTTTTTATGAAATTCAGTACTACTCAGCCATAAAGAATGAGAAACTAGAGACATTTACAGCTAAGTGGATGCACATTTAGGACATACTCTTAAGTGAAAATAATAGGACACATGTGTAAATACCATATAGTTTTGCTGGTGTGAGAAAGTGTAAATAAGGATCAAAATGTATAATTGATAATGTGTAATAGGAAAAAAGGTCTAAAGGTGTAGGGGAAGTGGGAGTGGCAGGGGAAAGGTAGGAAGGGAAAAGAAAAAATAAGAGAAAAGAAAAAAATGGAAACAAAGTCTTTGTAAATGGGGAAGGATGGAGCGGGTAAAGGGAGGGCAGGGGAATGGGGAGAAAATAAGAACCAAGATACATCCTGTAAAGATACGAGATCCCAGTGATGAACGTAACTGTATTGTACACCTTAAATGTACCAATTTTTTAAAAAGCGATGGCTAGGGAGCGTGCCTCTCAGGGCCTTACATAGTTAAACCTGCATCTAACCCATGTGACTGCAACCTCAGGAGGAGCTGGAGGCAGGTTTTTGGAAATGAAAACCACCCAGTTCAAAGGAGAAACTGTTTTAGCTCCTTGTAGTTGCTATAACAAATTACCAGAAACTGGAAGAATTATAATAGAAATTGCTTGCCTCACAGTACTGGAGACCGGAAGTCCAGAATCCAGATGTGAGTAGGATTGGCTCCCTCTCAGCCTCTGAGAGAGACCCGGGTCTGAATCCCTGTCCCAGTTTCCGGGGACTAGAGCATCCTTGGTGTTCCTTGGTGTCCTTGCCCCACTCCAACCTGCCTCCATCATCCCATGGCTTCCCCTTCCTGTCTCTCTCTTCTTCTGTCTATAATTATGGACACGAATCACTGGATTTAGGGCCCACCCAGAGAGTCCAGGACTAGACCATCTCAAGAGCCTTAACTTAATTAGGTTTGCAGAGATCATGTTTCCAAACCAGGGCCCCCTCACTGGACCTGGAGGGACGTATCTTGCAGGAGGCCACCACTGAACACACAGTGTCCAGCCCAGGGACCCAGGCAGGGGCTGCACAGCGGGCAGAGCTAACATTGCAGAGAGTTTAGCATGGACCAGACACTGTACAGGGTGATTTCCACCCATTAACTCATGTACCCCACTCACAATGTCTTTCATCTCAGCATATTAAAGTGTGGCTGTCATTTCCCCAGGCCCTGGGTGCCGCAGCACAATGACATGAGAATTAATAAACAGCGACTGAAAAGGGCAGCAAGTGTGCACCTCCCCGCCACCCCCGCCCATTCTGCTCTGATGACTCACAATTTGATCACTTTAACAGGATGTAAGTAATAGCCTGCTTCAAAAGAGGCATCCTTTTTATCTTCTCTCAAGCTCCCATTCTGCAGGGGACAGGGCTTCAGAAGTGAACTGGTTTGTTTCTTTAAAGTCCCTTTCATCAGGCTAGGTGTGGAGTTTGCCCATGAGGGAGAAACACAAGTTGAAACAAAGAAACAAAACACATTTTCAAGTTTGGGGGTTTTCAGGAGCACATGGTACCAAGTGGAAGCAACAGTAATTAGGTAAGAAAGCAGCAAAACTGATGGCCGGTGTTTATTTTTATCTTGTTCCTTCATTGTCATTGCGGTAGTTTTGGTTGTTTTTGAATACTAGGGATTAAAATCAGCGGGTCTTAATAAGTTACCCAGACTTGTGATCCCCCTACCTCAGCCTCCCAAGTGGCTGGGATAAAGCACATACCACCACTGCTGGTTTTATTTTGTTTTCCGTGACACATAATTGTACATATCCTTGGGATCCAGTAGGATGTTTCAATACATGGAGTGTATTTTGTAGTGATCAAGTGAGAATATTTAAAATATTGCCTCAAATATGTATAATTTTGGGGTAAGAACATTCAGAATCATCTCTTCTATTGTATTACAGTGATCCATGCACACCCACATTTCTAGCAGCACGATTCATAATAGCTAAATCTTGGAAGTCACCGAGATGGCCATCAGCAGGTGAACAGACAAAGAAACGTGGTATGTATGCACATGGAGTACTACTCTGCCATAAACAAGGATAAATCTGAGTCATTTGTAGGAACATCGATGCACCTTGAGACTATAATGTTAAGTGAAATAAACCAGACACACAAGCTTAAATATCACATGGTTTCTCTTACATGAAAAACCAAAAGTATAAAAACAAAATATAAGACGATAGTAGGAAACAGAGTGATCTTTTGCCAATATGGAGGGAGAAGAGGGTTTGGAAAGGGAAGTAAGAAGAACCGAGATGTGTTCTGTGCATGTGCCCACCGCCATGATGAATGTAATCGCTGCGTACTGCAAACATATTCATAAAAATTTTTAAGGTTTTGAATTTTTTTAAAACACGAAACTATCTCTGCTAATCTCTTTAACGTCTATAATACAGGATTGCTAACGGCAGCCACCGTGATGTGCCATAGAAGGGTGGGATGTATTTCTCCAATCTAATTATGATTCCGTGCCCGCTGACCATTCTCCTCCAACCAAACCTCACTGCCCCCAGGTTCTGGTAATCACTGCACTGCTCCGTTTCTATGAGGTCAGCTTTTGCGGTGCTGCTCTTTCCGTGCCTGGCTTATCTCACTCAGCACCCTGTCCTCTGGGCTCATCCGTGCTGCCGCAAAGGATAGGATTTCCTGCTTTTTAGGGTATCTACTGAGCACTTACTATGAGCCAGGAGCCCTTTTAAGCCCTTATGCCCCTACTCATTTCACTCACAGCAGCCCACTTGGTGGGTACCTAAACTACCCCCACTTTACAGATGAGGAAGCTGGAGCTCACTGCACACCCACTGCTTGTCCACAGTTATGCGGCAAGTACAGCACAGAGCTGGAATTAAACTCAGGAGCCTGGCTGCAGGACACATCCCCAAGCATTGTGCTGTTCCACACACATTTAGCAGAGACGGAATGCTGCTAAATTCTAAGCCAGGGAGCAGGGAGAAATCACAGAGAATCTACAAACCTTTAACCCCAGCACTCAGGAGGCTGAGGCAGGAGGGCTGCCGTGAGTTCAAGGCCAGCCTGGGCTACATGGTGAGTTGGAGGCCAGTCTACACTCCATAGCAAAACCCTTTCTCAGAAATAATAAAAGTAAAAAGACTTGCAGAAACCATAGAGAATCGAAATTGCTCTACTAGAGAAGCCTGTATGCAGTGTGCCGAGCAGAGGTTTTTTTGAACACACTGCACAGTGATTTGTAAGTGTGAGCTGTGCTGCGGGTTCTGTCTGAGGATGACCTTGCCGTGGGGGGTTTTCGGCAATGCTCAGAGAGTTTTTGATCTCCCCAACTTGGGGGGGTCAGTGGTGCCACAGTATCTTGTGGGAAGAGGCTGGGATCTGCTACACACCCCACCACGCCCAGGACAGCCCCATTGAAAGAATCAAAAGCTGCAGGGTCAGTCGGTCCAGTGCTGAGAAATGCCTGGATAAACCAAAGGGAGGAACAGAGGAAGGTCTGTGTGCCCAGCAGCCAGCTCAGCCCCATGGGAGTGCAGGGTGCAGAGTGAGCCAGGGCTCTGCCTGCTGCAGTGCTCACCCTCTTCTCCCAAAGCAGCGAGAGCTCCAGAGGCCCCCAGTAGCCTCTCTCCTCTTCCGCACAACAAAAGTCCCTATTTTTGACAGGGCCCAGCCACCTTGTCCAAGATTGTATCTGACACGGCTGCATGAATACGTTCTAGCCAGCGAGACCGAGAGGACTTGTATCACAACACCCAGGACAGACTTTTCCCCATTTCCCTTACAGCGTCCCACTCCATCTCTAAGTAGCCCAGGATGGGCTTGAACTTAGGATTCTCCTGCCTCAGCCTCCCAGAGCACTGGCATGACAGACATGTGGTAACACACCCAGCTCCTTTTCTGCTTTGTATTTCTCAGGGATTTGGTCAGAGCAACAAAAGCCGCCTAAGACAGTGATCCTGTTCTTACACCCTGACGTAGTTATTATCCCAGTCAGACTCTGCAGCCCCGGAAGAAAAAGCTTTTCAGGCCAGCTGCCAAAGCCCCCACTGTGTGGTCACCACAAAGACAAATATTGAAATCCTGGTACTCACTGATTTTCCCTGCTGAAACACATCTCTGATGCCACAGAAAATATTTTGACTCTATTCATACTCCAGCCTTGAAAGTGCCTTTTCCTCCCTGTTCCACACTGAACGTGGAAATTAAGCACAAAGAGTGTGAGGAAGACGGCAGTTAGGACAAGGCCTCGGGACAGATTGGCCAGAGTGCTGGTCCCAGCTCTGCTGTGTGACCTCAGGTAAACAATTGTGCTTCTCTGTGCCTCAATGCCCTACCGGGTACAATGGGGGCCATAATCAGTGGTTGTGAGAATTAAATGACCTAATATAATAAAGCAGGGCCCAGCAAACCTTTTCCATAAAGGTCAACGTAAGTAAATATTTCCAGTTTTCACTGGGCACGGTGACACATGCGTGCTTATAGTTCTAGCAGGCTGAGGCAGGAGGATCACTGTGAGCTCCAGATCAGCCTGAGAAACATAGCAAGTTCAAGGCCAGCCTGAACTACATGAGCAAGACACTATACTTAAGCTTTCTGAGTTTGGCTTCCTCACCTGTGAGTAGTCACAAATAGCAGTGTCTACCTCCCAGAGCTGAAGGGAAGGCTGATGAGATTCTGTTGGTAAATCCACTAGAAAACAAAAAGGTGCCATAAATGTGTTTGTTATTACTTACAACCTCGAGACCTCCTTTCTCAAGCCTTTGGGTACAGCCAGCCCTGGTGTCCTCCCTCCAACTGCTCACTGCAATTCCCAGCTTGAATGCCTTTCTCCCCCTCTACAGCCCTCCAAATCCTTGAGCTGGAGCACGGACTCACCTGCGGTAAGGTGCTCAACACACGTTGCTAGAATGGACAACTCGCGACACTTTCCTAAGTCTGAAATACATCCTATTCCAAACCCAAACATGAATCGTCTCTCCCCAGCAAGCTCAGGAAAAGCCAGACCATTTGGGGTGGATGGACATCTGCTGGCTCGGTTGCCTTAGAGTCACACAAAACTAGGATAAGATGTGGAAAGGGATGAAGGAGAGGTGCAGAGATCTGCGCCTAGTCACACAGCAGGTCCGAGGAGTAGAATTCGGAGCCTAAGAGAGGTACTCGCCGCTTTTGGGGGGAAGAGGGTTGCTGTTGTTTTTGTTGTTATGGGGACCAAACTCGGGACCTTGTGCGTGTGAGGCACAAGTGGTGGAACCACTGAGCTAAATCCTCCACCCAACTCGCTGCTTATTCATGTTCTCCCCTCCCCTCGGGGCAGCGGCCCCTACCTTTTTAGCACTAGGATCACGTTCACGGAGGCTGTTTCCTGCTTTCAGGATGACTCAACATGGCGGCATCTCGCTCTCTGACATGCGCAGTTCACAGTAAGAGTCCAGCACCTATGAGACTCTAATTTGGCTGCTGATTGACAGGAGGCGGGGCTCAGGCTGTGACGGAAAGCCCTGAGGAGCTTATGAAAACGCAGATGAAGCTTCGCCTGGTCTCTGGCCTCTTCGCCTCCCGCTGTGTGGCCCAGCCCCTAGCAGGCCGCGAACCAATAGCGATGGGGGAATCCTTGCTTTGGGATGTCCCCGTCTCTCCCTCCCTTAGCCACCCCCTGGACAGACGCCCCACCCAAATGGAGATTCACAGCAGTGGGTGAGTTCGGAGAGCACCCCTGAAGGTCCAGAAAGCTGAGGCTGGATTTAGTAAGCCCTCTTCCTCTGGTGGGGTGGCATACTCATGGTCAGACAGACTGAGAACCAGGGAACCGAGGAGGCCCAGGCTTAGCAAAGCACCTCTGAAGGATCCTAGATACTCAGCCACAACTGGTCCTCAGGCTCCAGAGCCTCTTGTCTGCTGCCAAGACGATAAAGACAATAGCAATTACATTACTCAGGGTGTGGCAAGTGCCAGCTCTTGGTAGATCTTATTTAAGCTTCACAGCAACACTGCAAGGTGGAAATTACTCCTGCTGCTGCAGAGATTGCTGGCCGCTGCTCAGTCTTCCTTCCCCTGCAGGTGACAGACGGACTCTCTCCAGATTTCAGCGGGACACACCTGCCCAGGTGAAGACTCTGCTCCCCAGCCTCCCTTGCAGCTGGGTGGGATCCAGGGACTAAATCTAGCCTAGCGGACTAAGCAGCTGGATATTCTATTGTGCGCTGATGGAACAGCAGTGGAGCCCAGATCCCCAGTGACCCCATAGAATAGGGACGCCAGCCTCAACTCCCACCATGAGACACTCATGAAAGAAGCCATACAGGGCCGGGGATGTAGCTCAGTGGTGCTGTTGCCTACCTCACAAGTGCAAGGTCCTGAGTTCAATCCCCAGTACCGTGAAAAAAGAAAAAAGAAAAAAAGAAAGAAGCCATATGAAGACTTCCATAAAATTAAAACCCCTGTGCCCTGGGGCATCCTTGTTCCAGCTTAGTGTCCTAACTAATAACACATCCTCAGGACCTTAGTGGATACTGGACCACTTGGCAGAGGAGAAACAGCGTCTCAAAGTGGTCATTGGCCAAGCACACTCAGATGAAGCAGTGCATCAGGGCTCTGAACTGAGCTACCTTTGACCCCAGAGTCTGTTTTCCTCCTAAATCATGCTGCCTCCCACTTACAAAAACAAAACTGCATGTGGTTTAACAATTTACAAAGCCCTTTCATGTACAAGGACTTTGTCTTTTTGCACCTTGCTCTGGTCCTGTGGGGGTGAGATCATTCCTCACCTTTACACGTGAGGGCATTAGGCTCAGAAGGTCTAGGGTTACACGATGGCGGTGGGGGGCATAGGAGACAATGCTGGGTTTGCAGCCTTGTCTGGACCTAACGGCTCTCCTTCACTGCTCCAGACCTCCCACTGTTCAGTATGACCGGATCCCCTAGAGAAAGGCCTTCCCACACCTGTCCCTAAGGTGGAGATGCCTTCAAGAACTCACAGGTAGCCAGCTGTCTCAGAGTGGGGCCCAGGAGCAGTTCCTGAGGCAAAAAACTGTGGGGCTCATTTATGCGAGAGAGGAACCCATAAAGCACTGGTGAGGGGGTAGAAGAGGGAGACAGGGAAGGAGGAGTACCCACCAAGGAAGATGGCAAGCCAGGTGCCCTGTGTGCACACAGGAGTTCAGTCCCCTGGGGGACTTGGTGCAGCTCATGCAGAACACAGCTCCCTTTCCCACTGAGGTGGGGAGGAACAAACAGTGCCAGCGAGCACCTCCCGGGCCTGAGGGCCGAGGCTGCTTCCTGAAAGACCTCGGAACAGAGGCACAAAAAGACGGAAAGGTAGATGCTCTCAGGTGGGCAGGGCACCTCAGTGAGCAGAAGGCACTGAGTGGCCAACTGGTCCACTTGGTCATGGGACAGAAGAGCACACGGAGGCCTGTTTGAGATCCGGGCCAGTGTCGGTCTCATTTCAAAACTTGATTTTACTTGATTTTACAACATCATTGCCTGTAAGATGCACCTTGAATATAATAACATCTTCTCTTCAGACTTTGAAAAAGAAACACTCCATTGTGTGTCTCCAAAAAGCACTCTAATTTCAGGTATGTTAAGAATTTAAAAGAAAGCATCTCCAACTAGTTGATATGGTTTTGCTCTGCTGTCCCTATAAGAGTGTTTGTACCCTTCTGACCTTCCATCCCAATTTGGGCTTAGAAAGTAGAGTTATTTTGTTTGAAAGTTTGTTCTGGCTCTGAAGTTCTGTGATACTCTATTTCTTTGTGGCATCTTTGTCATTGCAACACAATGTACATTTGCATTTCAAAACCTACCCCTGCCTACTCTGCACCTTGAAAGAAGAATCAGGATTCCCATCTTAATATTTAAAATAGTCAACTTCAATATCCAGATACCCAAGTACTTAAAGCAACAAAGGGAGCCACGGCTCCTTGCTCATCATGTCTCTATCGTCAAAATGCACATTTGCTTATTAATTAGATACATCAGGGGCTGGCTAATTTTGTTACAAGGAGAAAGGAGGAGAACTAACATTTATTAATGGGCTGCTACTGGCAGACACTGCACTAATAGCTTTCAATGTCGCATTTCGCGCAATCCTCACAATTGCTCCTCAAACAAAAGAAACTAACTCTCAACAAGGCTGTCATTTACCCAGAGTCGCATCACTGATTAGTCACAAATCTGAGATAATTGCCTACCACCATCCCCACCGCCTTGCTGGGTCTTCATGAACACAAAAAGCAGAGACAGAGAAGGGAGATGGAGAGGAGCAGGGAGGGTGGAAGAATTCTGTCCCCACATGATCTGGCACCCCTGATGCTGGACCACCTGCTGTTGCTAGGAAACAGGCACTTTCCCATTTCCTGAAGATAGAGACTGGCTTACCCCAAGAAGGGGCAAAGAAACTTTCCTTTTCCTTTTCTTTATCCATCTTTTGACCTCTTACGTATTCTCCAGCCAACATCAGCCAGCCAACCCTCCTAGGTTACAAGATTTTTAAAAGTCTGTTCTCTGGTCCATTTAAATTTTTCTTCCGGTATACGAGGAATCAAACTCAGGACCTTGCATTTGCCAGGCAAGCACAGTGCCACTGAGCTACATCCATGGCCCCTGGTCCACTTAATTTTGCAAAGAAGTACTGTTTTTCTTTCTTCTGTGCTCTGGAAAAGTTTTAGAGAAGAGTAAATCTGGTCTCTTTATCATCCTACGTGAATCTCTCAGACTTTGTTTTCCCCTCTAGGATAATAAAGTCAGTAGTTATACATTAAGCTGCACTAACACAGCTCTCAGGGAGTCATGGTCTGCATAGAGCCAACTGAGGAGGCTCCAGGCTGCCCCAGCGTAGCAGCTGTGCTGTCCTGGATACTAATTCCACCCTCTGATATTCATTGCTTTAGCTGTGCAAACAACACCATCTGTAAAATCAGATGAACCTGGGACAAGGGGTTCTTCACCTTTTTGAGGTTTGAGAATGGAGGAAGGAGGATAAGTATGGACCCTCTTCCTATAAAAATGCCCAAAGACACCAAATTCTACGAGGCATAGGACCTGAGGCAGAACCCCTGCTGGAACTGTGTTCTCAGCTGAAGCCTCTGGAATGGAGAAAAGAAAATAATCACACATGTGATTTAAAGCGGAAAGATTGCCGTGTTCACCACATCCACAGACACCTTTGCAGCAATGCCTAGATGTGTGTTGGATGGAAAAACCAGGTGCTACAGCTGGCTAAGATGACACATTAAACTGCCACACCCTGTTTGGGGTTTGTTTTAGGGATTTTTAACGTATGGGAGACTTGTTGGTGGCGTTGTCATTGTTGTTGTTGTCGTAGTCGTCGTGGTATGTAGTAGTGTTACCAGATAAGGGTTTTGTCCAGGTTCTTGATGTCCTGAACAAAGAATTGAGCGTGCTACCCAAAAAGGGATAAAAGGTCGAACATTTATTTGAAAATTAAAAGTATACTCCACAAGGTGGGAATGAGCCAGTGAGAAAAGTTTAGTCCCTAAGGAGGCTCAGTGCTGAAAGTTGTAAGCATTAGGGCTCGGGGTGAGGCTTTCCTCCTGCCAAAGAGTGGCTTGGCTCAGCCTCTGCAATGGGCAGTAAAGCTTGTATGAGTCCTACAGGAATTGTCAGGCCAACAGAGCCCGTGGGGGTGTGGGTTGGGAGATGTGGGTTGTTGGATCTGTGAAGTCAATTACATGGATGATAGCGAGAGGTGAAGCTGGCCAAGCATTGCAGAAGATCGCTGGGCCCATGCCAGGAAAACGTACTGTGTGGGGGACAAATAACCTGGTTGCTTTCTCCCATCGTATTTAGACATGAATATCCTGGTCCTGGGCTAATGTTTAACTCAGAAGACTAATCTAGTCTCCAAAAGCGGGCTCCCAAACGGGACCTCCCTTCTTTCTGCAGCCATTTCCTTATCTACCTCCTGCCTTGATGCTGGGCACTGAACACAGGGCCTCAAGCCACAATCCTAGTCCTTTTGTATTTTTTTATTTTGAGACAGAGTCTCACTAAGTTGCCGAAGCTAGACTCAAATTTGTGGCTGTCCTGCCTCACCTTCCCAGAATGCTGGGATTGCAGACATGTGTCACCATACCCAGGGATAGAGGAGTTTTTAACTTTCCCTTTAGACTTCCAGGAAGGTGGTGGGGTGATAAAGAGCAACAAATCAGCCTCTCTGAGGTTTGGAATCCAGACACTGGAATATAACAAGTTAGGGAAGAAAAGAGAGAGGTAGATCCCAGAGACCCAGGAAGGGTCTGAAGGGAGAATTGGAGCCCAGAGGGAAAGTGAAGAGACACTCCTCAATGCAGAAAAAGGAGGTGGTAAACTATACTTTCTCCATGACTCCTGGGTTTTCGTGTGAGACAGGAGGCTCGAATCTACAAAGACACAGCAAGGGCAGGTAACTCCAGAGGCCTCCAGGAAGAGATGCACCAGTGGAATGGAGTAGTGAATGCTCTGAGCTACAACAGCTGGTGAGTGACCCCATCCCAAGCATCTGCCGAGTTCCCTGGAGAGGGAGGTTGGCCAGATGCCATTTTAGGGAGGGTCCACCCAAACCAGGACTTGAAGCAGCTGTGGGTTAGCTTCACTTCTGGTCTTCCAGTGACTGGGTGAGGGACAACCCGGGAGACAAGGGTCAGGGAACCAAGATTAGGCCAGTAAGGGACACCAGAGTAGTGTAGGCTAAACGACTACGGTCCTAGCCCCACAACCAGAGGCCAGGAGCAGCCTGATCATCTGTGGAATTGAAAGCCCCAGAATTAGCACCCTGTCCTATTCCTACTGCAGACTTGCTGGAATTATCCAACACAGATCTGGGCTCTGTCTGCCTCCTTTGTCTACCAATGACAGCAGAGAGACACACCCTGAATTGGGCACTACTATAGAGCTGTACACCCCAGAAGACAAGCACAAGCTTGAAATAACAGATAAATCTTTTGGGTTTTTTCCCTTGCTTTTGTTATTTTTGTTCTTGTTTGTTTTTATGTTTTCATGAGTATAAACATGAATTTAGGTTTTATTGTTTTGTTTTGTTCTTCTTTGTGTTTTTTCTTCTTTCCTTCCCTCCTGTCTCCTTTCACCAGTTTCCTAAAGCTTGGGTTATCTTCCTTTGTCCTTCAGCCTTGCTTCTAATCTCTTTCTCTTCATTGATTTCTCTATTTTTTTCTCTTATCCCTTTTATTTCTTTTTTGTTTTGTTTTGTTTTGTTGAAGCAGGGTCTCACTATGTAGTTAAGGCTGACCTGGAATTCACTGTGTAGCCCAGGCTGGTCTCAAACTCCCAGCAATCCTCCTGCCTCAGCCTCCCGAGTGCCGGGATTACAGGCATGCGCCACTCCCCGCTGAGAGTAAAATCACTCTTTTGAGGGGATATTTACTGCATATAATTTTCTGATTTGTTTTAGATTTTGTTATATAACTATAAATCATGCACATATGGTTAAAGATGGCAAATTAATAATTATCAGAGTTTGTCATTTTCTAGACTGCATTTGATTCTCTTGTAATTACTGGTTGTACTATGTTAGCCACAATAACATAGTTGTTTTCATCAATTTTTCTTCCTTTTTTGCCAATGTTGAGATTGTCTGAGGGTCATAAATACTACCATATTTCAGTACAAAAGAACTAGGTGCTAGGCCAAACATGAAGTAAACCCTCATCCCTAATAAAGAAACTCTACCCTAATAAAATGGAAAGCACAAAAGAAATGGACAGATTTCTAGATACATATGAATTACCAAAGCTGAATCAAGAAGATATAAAAATTTTAAATAACCCAGTATCAGTAAATGAAATTGAAGAAGTAATTTAAAAACTACCAACAAAACCCAGGTTCTGATGGATTCTACAAGAACTTTAGAGAAGATCTAATGTCACTACTCCTCAAACTCTTTAATGAAACTAAAAGGGAATCAATACTCCAAACTCATTCCTGGAAGCAAGCATTAACCTGATACCAAAACCAGAAAAGGATGGAACCAAAAAAGAGAACTATAGGGGCCGGGGATTCAGCTCAGTGGTTCCAGTGCCTGCCTCACAAGCACAAGGGCCTGAGCTCGATCCCCAGTACCACAAAAAAAAAAAAAAAAGAGAGAGAGAGAGAACTATAGGCCAATTTCCTTAATGAACATAAATGTAAAAATTTTCCATAAGATTCTGACAATGCAGCAAATCATCAAGATGATCATACACCATGATCATGAAGGGTTCATCCAGAGATTCAGGGATGGGTCACCATGCAAATTGATAAATGTAACACACCATATGAATAGAGCCAAGGACAAAAACTACATGATCATATCAATAGATGCAGAAAAAGCATTTGACAAAGTCCAACAGCCATTCATGACTTTTTTTAAAAACTTACAGAAAATTGGAATAGAAGGTCTTTAGTTCACTCTGGTAAGACCCGTTTATGACAAACCAACAGCCAACATAATACTAACTAGTCAAAAACTGAAAGCTTTTACTCTAAAACCAGGAACAAGACAAAGATGCCCTCTATCACCACTCCTATTCAATATATTTCTGAAAACATTAACTACAGCAATTAGACAAGAGAAAGAAATAAAGGGAATAAGGATAGGAAAGGAAGAAGTTAAATTATCATTATGTGCAGGTGATGTGATACTCCAAAAAGAAAATCCCAAAAATTTCATCAAAAGACTCCTAGATTTAATAATCAAATTCAGTTGCATAATAGGATATAAAGTCAATACTCACAAATGAATACCATTCCTACACACAAGTACCATACTCACTGAGAGAGAAATTAGGGAAAAAAATACCTTTTGCAATTGCATCAAGAAAAATGAAATACTTAGGAATCAATCTAACAAAGCGAGTAAAAGACCTTTACATTGAAAACCACAGGACTCTGAAAAAGGAGATCAAAGAGAATATCAGAAAATGAAAATATATCCCTTGTTCTTAGTTCAGAATAAGCAACATAGTGAAAATGACTATACTTCCAAAACGCTGTACAGATTTAATGCAACCCTGTTCGAACTACCAATAATATCCTTCACAGAACTAGAGAAAATAATCCTAAAATGTATTTGGAACCAGAACAGATACTAAAATAGCAAAAGCAATTCTGAGCAACAAAGGCAAGGCAGGGGCATCACAATCCCAGACTTTAAATTATAGTACAAAGGCACCCTGACAAAAATAACATGGTACTAGGAAAAGATGAAAACAGACCCAAGGATCATTGGAATGGAATAGAAGATGCAAGAATGACTGGAAACACACGCAGCCACCTTATCTTTGACAAAGGGGCCAAACACCTTCACTGGAAGACAGACAGCCCCTTTAATAAATGGTGCTGGGAAAACTGGCTCCCCACATACTGAAGATTCAACCTAGACCCATATCTCTCACCATGCACAAAACTAAAATCAAAATGGATCACAGATATAAATATTAAGACAGACACTTAATCTGTTTGAATATAGAATAGTTTTTTTTTTTTTTTTTTTTTGGTACCAGGGATGGAACTCGGGTCCTTGCTCTTGCAAGGCAGGCAGTAGAACTGCTGAGCTAAATCCCTGGCCCTAGAATAGGTAAAACTCTTAAAGACATAGGTACAGGCAGAAACTTTATGGAAAAAAAAACCCGATCTCACAGGAAATATTACACAGAATCAATAACTGGGATTACATCATATTAAAAATTTTTTGCACAGCAAAAGAAACCAATGGTGAGAAGTGATAATCCACAGAATGGGGAAAAAATGTTACTGGCTATTGCTCAGACAAAAGACTAATACCTAAATATATAAACAACTCGAAAAAATCAGACCCCCTAAATTTAAAGACTCGGTCCAAAAGTGGACATCGGAAATAAATAGACGCATCTCTAATGAAGAAGCACAAACAGCAAATAAATGTACAAAAAATGTCCAACATCATTTGAGAAAGGGAAAGAACAAGGGAAGGGAAGGAAGGGAAAAAAGGAAAAAAGAATAGAAGGGAAAATGGAAACAAAGCTTTTATAAATGGGAAGGAGAAAAAGCTTGAAAAGAGAGGAGGAAAATGGGGAAAAAAAGAAGAATCAACATATATCACGTTCAGGTACAACTTCTTTACAATGCATGTGATCATTATGTATATCAAAAGTATACCAATATAATTAAGCTTAAAATTAAATAATAAACTTTGCCTACACTCTGAGGTTTGGATCAGCTGAGCTTCTGTAATGAACTGACAATAAACAGAATAAAAGAAAAAGTCACGCAAATTCATGACACAGTCTCTCCTAGTTGCCCTCAGAAGGGCGAGTGAAAGACTATGCCAAGGCCTCTCTGGACTTTGGGCCTCAGCCGTTAGTCTCCTTTCCTGGAATGCAAGCTCATCTCCAGCTAACAGGGCTGCAGAGGAGGCTCAGGACAACTGTCCTCCGCTCAGGCAAATAAGTGAAAGCTGGGGAAACCATCTCTGCTTCCAGGGAGGCCGAGGGGCAGAGCAGAAGGGCAGGGTGGGTAAAGGAGACCTCAGAGCTCCCTCAGTACCAAGCACTCTGTGTGCTTTGGGACTTTTTCCTTTTGTTTTGTTTTGTTTTGTTTCTCACTCAACAAAAGCAGAAAAGTGATTGAAAGGCTTAGGGTCAGAGAGGAAGGCCAAGACCACAGGAAGTGGGTTTTCAGAGGTCTCCACTGAGGGCTCTGAGGGATGGCTTCTGATGCTGCAGCCTGACTCCATCACACCCCTGCAGGGCCCGGGGCAGGAGGTGGTATGGCTGGAGGTCAGACTCCACCCGCTGCCCTGAGGCTGTCTGCTCTCCAGCTGGTGACCTGGGGTCAGCTGCCCTGAAACACTGCAAGTCCCAGAGGTGCCAGATTTTCTCTGCCTCCAGTTTAGACTGTCCACAGCCTGAAAATACCTCCACTTCCAATCATGTCCCTAATCCCGGCACCTTGGGAGACTGAGGCAGGAGGATCACAAGTTCAAACCCATCCTGAGCAAACCCAGCAACTAAGCAAGACCCTGTCGCAAAATTCAAAATTCAAAAAAGGGCTGGGATGTAACTCAGTGCAAAAGCCTTGGGTTCATTCATCCCCCCAGTGGGTGCATATCAAGATTTGCTTAGGAGAGTCCAGAATCCTGGTCACAGCCCCCACTGAGCTGTCACACTAGATCAGCTCCATGGTGCACTTGACCAAGACACCATTGGGCACATGGTGGGAAGACCTGGTGTCAGCCTCAGCACTCATTGGACCATCTGTAGTGGAGACAACACGGGCTTGGATCAGGTAGGTATGGCAATGAGACAAGAGTGTGAGTGTGGCACCAGGTAAACGGTCCTTTGTGGGATCCGAATTACACCTGCAGGACACACACAACCACTTCCAGCAGGTGCAAGACACCAGGAGCCACCAGCAGCTTGAAGAAGCAAAGACGGATCCTCCCTGTAGCCTCTGAAAGGAGCTCAGCCCTGCTGATGCCTGATGCCCCATTCCTGCCCTGGAGAAGTGGAAGAAGGTAAACTTTTGCATAAGACACCCAGTTTGTTGTCAGTTGCTGTGGCAGCCATGGGAATTTAACATATGCTTTTTAATAAAATCTCTCCATTGTGTGCCGGGCGTGGTGGCACATGCCTGTCATCCCAGCACTCAAGGCTGAGACAGGAGGATTGCTGTGAGTTTGAGACCAGCCTGGGCTACACAGAGAGTTCCAGGTCAGTCTCAACTACATAGTGAGACCCTATCTTAAAAAAAACAAAAACAAAACAAAAATCTCTCCATTGTGGAAGATGAAGAGATTGACCCCAGAAAGAGGCCAAAGCTAAAGAGTCAGCCCCAAACAGCACACTTGCCGTAGAAAGTCGGGTGGAAGACGTCCGCAGCCCATCACCCAAGCTACCTCCAATTCCACCCATTCCCCCACATAGGAGAACCACACTGTGGTGACAGGTGAGACAGAGGAAACAGCTGTAAGGCTGACACTAAATGACACCAGCCACTAAGAGCTGCATTAATCACTTATGACATACAGCATAAGTGGGCCCGCCAGAGCAAGAAAGGAGCAGGTGAGGCCAGGAAAAGCCAAGCTCAGTAGGTTTCTGGTGGGAACAAGGACTCCACTGGCAGTTGAACTGATTGCCCAGGACTCAGTTCCCCAGGCTCAACTATCCAGGGACTCAGAGGCCTCTGCAACCACCAGCAGAATACAAAAGGCCTCAGCTACTGCTCAAAGTCTGGTTGGAGACCTTGGTGTCCACCTACACGGTGCTCATTTCAGGCGCATGTAGAATGCGAGAGCTGTGGAGTCACAGAGGCTTCCACTCAGATTTCAGAAGAAAGCCTTGTCAGGCCAGAATTGCAGAACATCTGAGGAAGGCTGCAAGGAGTGAGCAAAGCCTGCCCAAGAGAGAGGCCCCAAGAGCTGCCACGGCTGCCAATGCCATGGAGCAGGGCCACCCAAACCCTTTGAGGTTCACATCTCGCTACAGTTTGCCCAGGGATTATGGGATTTAATGTTTGCCCTACTGGATTTTGGTCTTGCTTTGATCCCATCTCTTTGTATCCCCCTATTTCTCCCTTTTGGAATGCAAATGTTTACCTTTTGCCTTTGCATGTTGGATGTGTTAACTTTTTTTTTTTTTTTTTTTTAACAGGGACTCACAGCTAAGTCTTGGCCTTAAATCTCAGAAGATATTCTGGATTCAGCCTTATGAGGCATGTGAAACTATTGGGAACCTGGCAACTCTTAGAGATGGACTAAATACATTTTGCATAAAAGGATGAGCATGAGAGCCTTTTGCAGGTCAGGGGAGGAATGTTTCGGTTTACATCTAGATGTGCACCAAAGCTTCATGAGTTCATAGGCAGGGCTTTGGGGAGGTGACTGGATCACGGGGGAGGGATGCTCATCAGTGGTTCAGTCCACCAATGAGCTGATAGCCAATGTGACTGGAAGATGAAGCCTGATTGGAGGAGATGGGCCACTGGGGGCGTGGCCTGGAAGGGTATATCTCCTTCCTTCTTCCCCGTTCTCTGCTTCCCACGACCATGCCGTGAGTTGTTTCTCCTCTGCCATCCCTCTCTGCTGTGCTGCCCACCAACTATGGGCTGGAATCACCGTGAGGCAAAAAAAAACTCACCTCTTTACAGTTTTGCGTGTCGGGTATTGACAAGAAAGTAACTAAGACAGCTGATATTTTAAGCCACCAAGTTTTACAGCACTAGGCACTAGAACAGGCTGTTAGGAGAATTGAATTAGTGTTAATGCCCTAAAGCACCAGAAAAAGGGGTTATTCCATTAACATCAGCAGACATACTTTTATTATGCTCCCATTTGACAAGTGAAGCACTTGAGATTCAGACACGGTCCCACAGAGCTGGAAAGTGGCACCATCAGGATCCCAGCCCTAGGTCTCCGATTCTAGACCCTGCTCTTCTCATGGCCGAGACCAGCCTCTCCCACCAGAAGCCTGCTGGGATCAAAGGAAGCTGCATTTCCCCCACGGCAGCTCTGCCTGTCTCTAGCTCAGGCTTCCTGCAGGAGGCTCAGAAACCCTCCCCACCAAGTCGTTCCTATCATTAGAACCTCATTTCCCCTTCCCAGAGGCCTGTGGGAAAGGTGAAGAGGGCATGGATGGAGCGGCTAGGAAAGATGGTGCTCACTGCTCAGCCCTGCCTCCCACTGTCCCTGCTGTGCACACGAGGCCTCTTCTGTCCCTCGGCAGCTCCAGGGCCAGGGATGCAGAGTGCCTAGTTGGTGGCTTTGAGCCCAGTGGGCAATTCCTTGACCTAAAGGCCTTTCCACAGAGTCTGCAGCACCCTGCATCCTGAGCAGAACAGCAACGACCGGGTCCCGTCCCCGCCACCTACAAAACCAGATGCACAGCTGCCAGGGAATTGAGTGTCCCCACATCTAGCTGTGGGGCCTGAGGCAGATCCCCCTGTGAAATCACAGCAAAGTGAAAGATGCTCTTCTCCATTTCCCCTTCTCCTCACCCTCCTCTTCTTAGTATTCTCTCCCCTCATTTCTTTCTTTCTTCTCTCCTTTGTTCTACATTGTGTGTATCGTTCTCCCGCTCCTTCACACACACACACACACACACACACACACACACACACACACACACACAGTCTCCATAACTGACGCCAACCCAGCTGCAGACAGAGACAGGGGCCCAGGAGATGCTAGAGCCCGAGAAGGGCTTCCATGGAACCCAGAGGCATAGGAGGAAAGGCTTGGGACTCTAGGGCTCTCCCACCCCGACTGCTGCAGGACCTGGCTGAAGCCATGGTTAGGACCTTGTGACGTCAAACCTTCCCACGACAGAGACTACAGTGTGATGTTGGAGATGAAGGCTGCAGGCCCAAGATGTTACAATACCCCAGGACTCTTCCTGGTGCCTCCTGAGGTCCCCTCTGCACCACTGCCTCTGTTTCAAAGTCCAGAGGACGGGAACGGGGGCTGGGATGCCCCACAGGTCCCCAGAGGCAAAACTTAACTATACATGGAAAACTTAGGTGACATCCCTGTGGTCTGACAGTTCAGATGGGGTGGGCAGAAATTTGACTATTTTTATCTACTGTGCCCTCCCCCTGTCTCCCTCACTACTCAAGCTGGAGCCTTCTCTCCTTGGTGTTTGGTCAGAAATCTAAGGTGAGCAGAGCTCTTGGTTCTAAGGGCCCACCTTCAATGTGTCCTTGAAGTGGTTTCTCTTCTGGGAGGATCGCTTTGCCCTGAAGAGAAGAGGTGCAAGGAATGAAACTATGGATTAGAGAAAATGACAGAGAATGAATCAAATCTAGAAATCACTGCCCATATTTACCCAACCAAACACCATGGGGGGAAAGGCACAATTGAGTAGTGACCAAGAGCCATGTCCCCTTCCGACAATCCTAAAAGCAGCCTCCTGGGGACACATCTGAATGCCGGGAAAATGGCCCCTTCTCCCAGATAGGTGGCTTCACAGGAATACAGCCCTGTGACAGCCTGGAAAGAAAAGAAGAGGCTCTCACATCAAAAGAATCTCCCTCCAAGCCCTGTAATCCCAGAAGAGCCAGCAACCTCACTGTGACACCACGCAGGGAGAGTCAGCAGGCCACTCTGCAGATGAGGAGACCAGCCCCAAGAAAGTGGAGGGGCGGCCCACCCCAGGCCACCCCTCATTACTGGGTTCAAAGTCAGATCCACCCTACTCCAAAGCCACCCTCCAGCCTCCGCACAGCGGAGGGAGGAACACCGGCTTCCTGGCAAAGCCTGTGTGCTCCAGTGCTGCTGGGAGGCCTAGACATTCACCCCAGCACTGCGAGATTTATGCAGCTAATTTCCATTAGGACTAATGGAAGAAAGAAAAAGCTATTTTTCTTATAATTAGAAGAGAATTCAGCCTTTGCATCCAATGAGTCTAATATCTCAGCTTATGTAACAAAAGGAGGAGCAAGTGCATGGATGCAGTTCAGGGGGAGAAGAAGCGATTTGGATGACTGGCCACAGAAGTGGTGGGTCGAAGGTATAACACAACTCCAGATGGAAATAGCTCTCTGCTGCCAATCAGGCCAGATTTCAAATCCCCGCCGTGGCCACTGCCTGTGGAGACCTGGATGGGCCAGTTCTGCGCAGCATTTTAAGCGTCTCCAACAGAAAGATCACGCATGGCACAGAGGTTTCTTATGCCCATTTCAGAGATTTAAAAGCGGAGGTTCGTGGACACAATGCACCTGGCCAGTCATAAGGGTGCATCGCAGGGCATGTGCCCAGCAGGTGCCTACTGCATGCCAAGGCACACGTGCCACAGACATTCAGCTGGGCAAGGAAGGCCTAGGAGGCACACCCGTCCTGTTTCACACCACATGCGTTCTCCTTCAGAGGATGAACTGGATCGATGTTTGCTGAATGAAAGGCTTCTCTGGAGGTTTGGATTCTGCAGTCATTTCTTTGTTCTGGCAAGAGTTCCAATAGGGAGGCAAAGGGAGGAAGAGGCGGTGGCAGCCCAGAGCTCATCAACTCCCATTGGCAACCTGTGTCTCAGGGACAGGCAGCTTCTGCTAGCGCCCAGCTCGGTTCTGGCCCTGCAGCTCACTGAGCCCCCGCCAGCCACCTGTGTTTGGCAGCTACTAAAGGTGTTAGCTAATGGAGTATTGATTTTTTTTTTTGAGAGGCAAAATTTGCAAGTTGCTGCAATCAATAGCCAAGGAGAAAGAGGGGGGAAAAAATGCAGGGTGAAAACCCAAGCCCCTTGTGATCATCAACCACATCTTTTCCATCCCTGGAGGCCTCTCCTTTCTTTCTGGGCTCCAGAAGAGGGAGCAAGAGGGCAGATAGGAAGAAATGGAGAGGAAGGGTAGGGGTGTCAGTGCACTGTGGGTCTTTGCAGCTGTCCCCAGGCAGCTTTCCTCTCTCTCTTCCTCCCTTCCTCCCTCCCTCTTTCCCTCCCCTCCCTTACTCCCATTCTTTCCCTGCTCTCTACTTTCTGGTTGTGATAAAATGAACAGTTTTCCTCTGCCACATCGGTCTACCATGACGTCCCTACCTTAGAACCAGCCGACCATGGACTGCACCCCTGAAACTGTGAGTCACAATAATCTTTTTCTCCTTTCCGTTGCAGTCCCTGTAAAGGCAAAGCGGGCCTTTATACACCTTGATAATGAGGCTTCCCTAAGGAAGAACAGCTACAAGAGAGATCTGTGGCCTGCAGGGCAAGGATGAAGACCTGGAGGGGAAGGAAGGGCCTCATGAAGCCAGGTGCAGTGGTGCACACCAATAGTCCTCACTTCAGCAGCCTGAAGCAGGAGAGTCACTTGAGGCCATGTCTTCCAGGCCAGCCTGGGAAATATCACAAGAAGCCTGACACAAGAGAAGGAACAGGAGGTGCCAGAGTTCATGCATTCACTCAGTAGTGATGAATGCCTACTGTATACTAAGCACTGGAGCATGCATAGGGAAAATAAGGGTAAGTGTAAGAAGATACTCCTTACCTCCGCTGAACTTACGCACACTGGTGGACAGGCATTAATTAAAGAATCACATGGGAAAATCTCAGCCAGTCCCACGTCCTGAGGGGAGAGGGACAGGGACTGCGGAAGGACATGGTGAAGGAAGCTGACCTGGTCTGGGAGGTCAGGCAAGGGCCCCAAGGAAGCAGGGCTTAAACCGAGACCTCAGGTGTGAGGAAGAGCACTCTTGGCACAATGTGTACAGCCTATGCAAAGGTTCTGAGGCAGAGGACAAATTCAGCAAAGGTGAGGCTTTGTAAAAAGGCCAGGTGCAAAGGAGGAGGAGGAGGAAGGTGGGTACAGTGTAAGGCTGGAGAGACAGGAAAGAACCAGACCACAAGGGCTATGCAGGTCCTCTTAAGTGATTTTGTCTTCACCCTGAGAGTAATGGGGTCTATTGAACCACTTAAAACAAATGAGCAGAGGGCAGGGGATTTAGCTCAGTGGTTCTGCCACTTGCTTCACGAGCGCAAGGTCCCGAGTTCCATCCCGCGTACCAGAAGAAAAAAAAAATGAGTGGAGTAGTTTACCTGACTGAGTATTGGGCTGCCCAGTTGAAGATAAACCACAGCAGCCCGGAGCAGAGGTGGGAGAGGGGCAGTAAAGAGGCTAAACCAGAGACAGGGACCAGGGGAGTGCATGCTAGGCAAAGCTGACCTGGTCGGGGACCACTGTGGGGCCTTGCGCTGCCCCCTCCTGGACACATTTGATTCTGCCAAACCGCAAGGGGAAGACTTTGCCCCTGGAGGCTGCACGGATGTGGTTTGCTCTCTCAGCCCCAAGACAGCTACGGAGTTAGGACAACGCCTCCACCAATGGGAGAAGGATGGCTGGATAGATGCTCCCAGCTGCTGTTCTCTGGCAGCAGTAACCAGCTCAGAGGACACCCCCACTCCGCAGGATTGTCTCCTTCCCTCTCCAAGCCCCTCCCTGCTGCTCACCAGGGTCACTTCCCAAAACCCACCAGTGCCCGACTCTCCGCATCGAGGCTGATTTGGGGGAGGCAGACTATTGACACGGGAAAGTGAGTTAACCCATTTTGGCGCCACCAAAATTGTTAACCCATTTGCTCACACAAACTCCATGCTTGAGCCCTCCGGACCTCTCACTCTCTCACGCACTGCCGCACATCCATCCCTCTCTCTGTCCCCTCCATGGTGACAGATCCAGGAAGGGTGAGAAGAGACTCTCCTGTCCTGCTTTCTATTCTCTTAACAATGGGCTGTCACTGGAGGATAGACTCCCCCTTGAGCTCAGCACCATGCTTCTGGGCTGGAAGAACTTCACTGTACTTCCAAGACAATGCACATCCAGTAAGGAGTCCATTAAGGAACGTCAGCAGAGTGGCCCCAAAGCAGACTTCCCCTGGGGTCACCCGCCTGGAGAGACCCAGGCACCTGGGGGAGCCCCTTACCCCACGGAGCATGTCTACTTTCCACTAAACAATTAAGCGCAGCCACAGTCTCCTAGAAGGGCTTGGGCTAGGGGTAGGGTAGGGTAGGGCTAGGGCTAGAATTAGGGTTAAGGTTAAGTTGGTGATAGAGTTAAGGTTAGGGTTAGAGCTAGGGTGAGGGCTAGGACTCAGGTTAGGGTTAGGGTTGTGTTACCCTTAGCTTTAAGATTAGGAGTTAGGGTTAAGATAAATTCTGGAGCCAGGGCTAGGATTAGGTTCAGGGCTAGGTTTAGAGTGTGAGTGAAATTTAGAGTTAGGGTTAGGTTAGGTTGCTATGTTTAGGGTTAAGGATAGGGTTATGCTTAGTGTTGAGTTATGGTTAGATTTAGGGTTAAAGATTAGCATTAGGGTTAGGTTTGAGTCTCAGGCTAGGGTGAAGGTTGCAATAAGATGGGTTAGTTTTAGGGTTAGGATTTGTGTTAGGGATATTGCTAGGGCTAGAGTTAGGGCTTACGTCTGATTATTGGTTAGAGTTAGATTTAACAGTAAGGCTTCTATTAGGGTTATGGTTATTTTTAGGATTATGGTAAGGTTTGATTTAGGTTTGGGTTAGGGCTAATGCTAGGTTTGTTTAGGTTTAGGGTTAGAACTTGTGTTAGACTAGGGTTAGTGTTAAGGATAGGGTCAGGTTAGGGTTGAGTTTGGATTGGCTTTAGGGATAGGGTTTAAAGTTTAGTGTTAGGGCTAGGGCTATTGTTAGGTCTAAGCTTAAATTTAGGGTTTGGGCTAGACTTAGGGTTATTGTTAGGGTTAGGGTTAAGGTTTGGCCTGATGCTATGGTTAAATTTAAGTGTTAAAGTTAAGCATAGGGTTGGGGTGGGATTGAGTTAGGTTTAGGTTTTAGGCTAGGGCTTAGGGTTTGGGCTATTTCTAGTGTTAGGGTTAGAAGGTTAAGTTTACTGCTTGGGCTAGGGTTAGCATTAGGTGAGGTATGGTTTAGCTAGGGATTAGGATAGGGTTACTGATAAGGATTGGTTTAGTGTTGTATTTTAGGGTTTCGGCTATTGCTGGAGGTAGGACCAGGGTTAGTTTCAGTGGTAGTTTAGGATTTGCTCTAAAGTTAGGACTATGGTCTATGGTTAGGGTTAGAGTCAGGATTATAGGTCAGGATTAGGGTGACCTCGAAGGCTATGGCTGGTGTTATGTTTAGTTTAACGATTCAGAATAAGTTTAGGTTTAGGGTTATGGCCTGTTTTAGAGCTAAGGCTAGGTTTATGGCTATGGTTAGCACTAAGTTTAGGGTTAGAGTTAGCCTGAAAGTAAGTCAATGTCTAGTGTTAAATTTAGCATTATTATTAAGGTTATATTTAGGGTTGAGATAGGGTTAGTTTTATTATTTGGGTCAGAGCTAGAGATAGGGTTAGGACAGAGTTAGATTTAGGTTTAGGGTTACGGGTTAAATTAGACTTGGCATTAAAGCTATGGTTAGTTTTAGAATTGAGGTAGGTTTATGATTATGTTTAGGGTTTCAACTAGAGCTAGCCTAGGACTAGGGCTAGGAGTAGGGTTAGGGCTCTAGTTATGGTTTGGGTTAGCGTTTGTGTGAAGACCATGGCCAGTTTTATGTTTAAATTTAGGGTTAGGGATAGGGTTATGTTTAGGTTTAGAATTATGTTTCAGGTTAGAACTCATTTTTGTATTCTGACAATGTCTAGATCTGAGACTAGCACTAGGGTTAGCATTAGGATAAGGTTAGGGCTATGTTTACAATTATGGGCAGGTTTAGAGTTATCATGAAGTCTAGGTTTCGTTAGGTTGGAGTTTGTACTAGGGCTTGGACTAGACCTAGTTTTAGTCTTAGGGCTAGGGTTCTATTTAGGTTAGGGTTAGGGGCTAAGTTTTCACAGCATTAATGTTAGTTCTAGGCTAGGGTTAGGGTTAGTCTGAGGATGAAGGTTGAATCTTGGTGAGGTCCATGGGTAGGGCTAGTGTTAGGGATAGGTTAGGTTTTAGATTACTGCTCTGGTTCAGGTTTATCATTAGGATTTAGGCTAGGAATAATATTAGTTTTAGGGCTTGGGCTAAGATTGGAGTTAGTATTATTTTCCTTGTTTTTGTTAAGGCTAAGTCTAGAGCTAGGACTAAGGCTTGGCCTAGGGCCATGGTTAGAGTTAACATTTAATGTAAGACTAGGGTTTAGTTTAGGGCTAGGGTTAGGGTTAAGTTTAGGTTACTGCTAGGGTTAGATTAGGGTTAGAATTAGAAAAGGTCTTTAAGATTAAAGTTAGTGTTGTGGCTGAATTTGGTACAGCTTTAGGGTTAGTCTTAGGGTTACATGAGATGTTAGGTTTAGAGCATGGCCTGGGCTAGGATTAGTTAGAGGATTAGATTTAGTTCTGAGCTAAGGTTATGGTTAGGTTCAGCTTTGGCTGGTGCTAATGCTAAGGTTAGGATTAAGGTTGTATTAGGATTAGTTTTAGACTTAGGGGTTAAAGTTTGGAGTAGGGTTACTTTTAGGGTTTAGTGTTAGGTTTAGCTTGAGGTTTAGGACTAGGCTTAGTTTTAGGTTTAGGTTTATGGTTTGGGTTTGGGCTAGAATTAGGGCTAGGGTTAGGGTTAGGGAATGTTGTTCATTTCCTATATGACAGGCTGCAGTTCATTTCTTCTTAACTGTGAAATATATCTAAAACCTAGAAAAACTTCCTCCTTGAAGAATCAGAAAAAAGTTTTGCTTCTCATTGCACCTGGGTCCTCTATAAGACTAATCATTCTCAATTTCAGCCACTGCACCTCTCTTCTCTGACCCTAGTTCCAAGTGTTAGAGTAAGCTACAATTATTGTCCATTTGCTACATGCTAAATGTTTTATGTGCACTGTTTTTTGAATGTGCTGAAGTGTCCCATAAGTGCCCCATAAGGCATGAGGTGTTACCATGACCCCATTTGTGGAGTGAGAAAACTGCCACCTAGACAAATAGTTTGTTATTTGGAGAACACTGTGTAAGCCCACATTTTAACCTAGAAATCCAGGGCCACTTTTGTTACTCATTGCCTCAGGGTCTTGTGGGAAGCTGCCAGCTAATGCGGTTTGTGTTGGAGCCACAATTAGTGGCTGAAACTCTGTGCTGGGATCAGTGAGCCCAGAATCATGAACTAGTCCCACCTGAGTTGATTATACGGTTAGGACAAGTCACCGGCTCCTGTGAAATTCTGTATCCGAATTAGGGTCTCCAGGACATGGTTCCAACTGACCTGTCCTATTCATCCTCTGTTCTCTGCATGTCTTCCTCTTACATTCCAGAAATATCTGTTTATCACTGTTTCTACTCTGTGTCCCCCCACAAATTCCCTTGCCAAAGTAGCTCCTAGTTCCACCAGCACCTTTCTCATTATTTTTCACTTTGATACAGTCTTCAAGTCTCTAGACTGAATGGTATCTAGAATCATAAAGAGGTCTAATTTTAAAACAGAATTAGAAATGCAGGCAGAGGGGCAGAACTTTGGTGAATATTCTCCATCCACAAAGAAAAACAGCCTTCTAGGGGTATACATTTGTTTTGATAATCTCTTGCCGAGTAACAAACCGTTCCAAAATGTAATGGCTTAAAACCACAGTGATCTGTTTTACTCACAGACACATGATATAGTTAGGGCTCAGCAGAAGCAGCTCATCTAGATTCCATGTAGTACTTGCCGGAATAGCTAGATCAAGGGCGAGAACATAACTCCCTTGCTAGAGAGTCCAAGCTGTCTCTCAGCTGGAAGCTGGGCCAGGGCTTTGGGATGGGGATGTCATCTCTCCTCTAGTGGGACCCTACAGGACACTCAGCCTTCCTCACAGCACGGTGGCCGCTTCCAAGAGTCAACACAAGGCAGACGTGTGTGACATTTACATGACCCAGCGTAGGAAGGCACAGAGCATCACTTCTGGTTTGCTCAGCTGGCCAAGGCCCTTTGTCACCAAGGCCGTCGAGGTGCACAAAGAGAAGACAGAGATACAAGTGTCCATGAGATAGTAAGGTTCTGGGACACAGGCCAGGGATACTGTTCCAGCCATCTTTGAAAACTGTAATCTGCCACCATT